GAAGACTTGTATGAACTGAGGCAGAATGAAATGAGCAGAACCAGGAGAACTATTTATACAGTGACCACAACATTTAAAGAAAAGCAACTTTGGAAGACAACTCTAATCAAAGCAATGACCAATAATTATTCTAAAGAATCCACAATGAAATTTGCCACTTCTATACCCTCCCAGAAGGGAGATGGGCTAGCGCTATAAAGTGAGGTATATTTTCAGACATGGCTGATAGGTAGATTTGTTTTGTTTCCATATGCTTATTGGTTATAAGAGAGGGTTTAAAAATTTTTTTTTGATTGGGGGAAAATTGGATAAGAAGGGATGAGCGATAGTGATGCTAAAAAAAAAAAGGAAAAGAAGGAAAAAAACATTGTCAAGGAAGCATTTGAAAGAATACATGAGGGGCAGCCAGGTGACGAAGTGGATAGAGCACTGACCCTGGAGTCAGGAGGACCTGAGTTCAAATATGGCCTCAGACACTTGACACGTGCTAGCTGTGTGACCCTGGGCAAGTCACTTAAGTCCATAGCCTAGCCAAAAAAAAAAAAAAGAATATGTGGAAGAGAGCAGAAAGATTCAGCAGGATACAGATGAGGAAGACAGTCTTGAAAATAACTTTAAAATCGATCACATACTTTTAAAAAGGAAATAAGTGGGATACAGCTGTGGCTCCTGATTTTGTAAGAAAATGTTTTTTCTGCTCTTTGTCAGTCTATGTAAATGTTCATGTTTGTGGTGCTGATTGAGTTCAGACAGACAAAAACCAAAATCTTTTGAAAGATCTTGAAGATGTGATTGCTGAGTCAGTGACAGATATTTCAGAAAGCTTGGAAAACGGGAGAGGCCCTGTGGGATTGAAGAAGCGTAAATGGCAGCTTTTCTGGGGCTCTTGTTCTCCCTCTGCAGACGAGAGGACAGACGCTATTACAGAATTCATGTTGAAAGTGGCCTCAGAGGCCCTGGGGTCCTATCTGCTTGTTTTACAGATGGCCAAACTGATGGCTGCAGAGGTTGAACAATGTGTCCAGAATCCCACGGCTGAGGGCAGAGGCAGGAAGGACTCTCTGAGCCCTTCTAATCCTAATGCCTTTATTTTTAGGATCAAAAAGGGGCAGGGACTTGAGCAGTCACACAGGTAGCATCAGAGGCAAGATCTGGGCCACTAGGGGGCGCCATAGTGCACAGAGCACTGAGCCTGGAGTCAGGAAGACTCATCTTCCTGAGTTCAAATCTGGCCTCAGACACTCAGACCCTGGCAAATCACTTCCCCCTCTTTGCCTCAGTTTCCTCATCTGTAAAATGAGCTACAGAAGGAAATGGTAAGCCACTCCAGTATCTTTGCCGAGAAAACCTCAAGTGCGGTCACAGAGAGTCAGACACAACTGAATAACCACATGCCCTGACTCCAAATCCTAAACTCTTTCCACTGTACTGTAATGCCTGCCTCTAAAACTGTACGGTGTAGGTCTTTTCCAGATCTAATAATAGTCTATGATTTGGGAAGCAACTAAGACAAAGTCCTGTTAGAGAGTGGAGGAAGGAGAACTCACTCCTAACTCTGGGCGTCAGAGCAGACAGCCCCTGAGCTGGTTCTGAAAGAGAATGTAGGATTCCAGCAGAAGAAAGACTCTTCTAGAATTTATGACCAAACAAGAGATAGAGAACATTATGAAATGCAAAATGGATCATTTTGATTATATTAACTTGGAAAGTTTTCACACAAATAAAGCCAATGCAACCAAGATTAGGAGGGAAGCAGAAAACTGGGAAAGAATTTTTACAACCAGTGTCTCTGATAAGGGTCTCATTTCTAAAACCCATGGAGAACTAAGTCAAATTTATAAGAATACAAGTCATTTCCCAATTGACAATTGGTCAAGGGATATGAACAGGCAGTTCTCAGATGAAGAAATTAAAGCCATCTATAGTCATGTGAAAAAAAGATGCTCTAAATCACTATTGATTAGAGAAATGCAAATCAAAACAACTCTGAGGTACCACATCACACTTATCAGATTGGCCAACATGACAAAACGGGAAAATGATAAATGTTGGAGAAGATGCGGGAAAATTGGAACACTAATGCATTGTTGGTGGAGTTGTGAACTGATCCAACCATTCTGGAGAGCAATTTGAAACTATGCCCAAAGGGCTATGAAAATGTGCATGCCCATTGACCCAGCAATAGCACTTCCAGGGCTATATCCCAAAGAGATTATAAAAATGGGAAAAGGACCCACGTGTACAAAAATACTTATAGCAGCTCTTTCTGTGGTGGCAAAGAATTGGAAATTGAGAGGATGCCCATCAACTGGGGAATGGCTGAACAAGTTGTGGTATATGCATGTAATGGAATACTATTGTGCTATAAGAAATGATGAGCAGGCAGACTTCAGAAAAACCTGAGAAGATGTGTATGGATTGATGCTGAGTGAAGTGAGCAGAACCAGGAGAATATTGTACATAGTAATAGCCATGTTGTGCAATGACCAATGTTGACAGACTTAGCCCTTCTCAGCAATGCAAGAATCTCATGATGGAAAATGTTGTCCACATCCAGAGAAAGAAGTATGGAGTTTGAATGCAGATTGAAGCATATTATTTGCTATTTTTTTTCTTCTGTTTTGTTTTATTTCTTCTTTCTGGTGGTTCCTCTTATTGGTTTTAATTCTTCTTTACAACATCACTAATGTGAAAATAGGTTTAATAGGGATGTATATGCAGAGCCTATATCAGATTGCATGCCATTTTGGAGAGGGAGGGGGGAAGGGAGGGGGAAAATTGAAAACTCAAAAGCTTGTGGAAGTGATTGTTGAAAACTAAAAATAAATAAATTAATTAAAAAATAAAAAATTATAATTAAAAATGAGACTTTTCTAGGCTTGTTAGAGACTCTGCAGAAAGACACAGAGACAGAAGGGGGCAGGATGAGATGGGCATCCCAGGCAGCTGGAGCCCAGAGTCCATGAGTTCTGTACCTTGATTTATGGAGCCCTGAAATAGGAGGGACAAGGCTTTGACATTGGCAGAGTGGGACAGATGAAAAGGCCCTTGAAAGGTAGAAACAGATGATTTCATTAGCATGAGGCCTCCCTCTTCTGACGTGAATCATGCCCCTTCCACTCTGGAAACGATTCTGTGAATTTCTGTGGCCAAAAGAATTCCTCCCTGGTGGTGAGCCCACCTGCCGCTTGGACCACAACTGATCCGTGTGGCCCTTTACACGTTAACTGCCAGTCCCTTGAGGACAGGGAGGTTTTGCTTTTGTACCCTAAAGACCTAGCTCCTGGTTCATTGTAGATGCTTAATCAATGTTTGTTTTGTGCGACGGACCTAAGCAGATCACCCCAGCGCAGTGGTCCCAGAGCCTGCTGCAACAAGATTAATGGTGATGCGCAATGGAAGCGTCCTGAAGAGACCTAGGCATGGGTAGACATTCTCTAACTGGGCCTGGCCTGCTGCACACATGGTGAGGAGGAGCCTTTTGGATGGCCTGGGTATCTATAACAGTGCTTCCAAAAGCATCGGGGACCAGAGATTCAAACATTTTCTCCTTTTCTCTTGTTCATTCTCATTTTGACCCTTTTGATAACGTTGCTCAGTGAGACACACTAGAGAGAGAGAGCCTTCGGTTTTCCCCACAGAGGCCAGGTCTTTGCCTGTCTCTGTTTTTGTTCTCCAGTTTTAGGTGAAGAAGGTGGAGGGTGGGGGGGGGGACTTTGAGAATGTTGAAAAGTCAGAAGACCAAGTCATTCAAATCCTTGACTTGGACTCTACACCAGATTTTACGGCCAGCTCAGTATTTATGCCCCAAAGAGCAAGGAGTGACCTTTGGGATCTTCCTAAAGGTAGCTGAGGTGGAGACTCCTCTGGCAGCCAGGAATTTGGGGGGGGGGTCAACTCAGTGTAGAAGCTGTTGGAAGAGTGAGCCCACTGTCCTTTCCAGAGACCAAGATGGCACGGAGGGAGTGTGCCCCTGGCGTGTTAGGGGCAAATGGTTATATTTTTCTTCCTGATATATCTTCAGAGCAAATATCCTTTCCTTTTTTTTCCTGCTTCTATTAATCTATTTTGACCTATCAACAATCACTTCCATTAGTTTTTGAATTTAAAATTTTTCTCCCCCTCCCTCCCTCCCTCCCTCCCTCCCTAAGATGGCATGCAATCTGATATAGGCTCTACATACACATTCCTATTAAACATATTTTCACATTAGTGATGTTTGTAAGTAAGAATTAGAACCAATGGGAGAAACCATAAGAAAGAGGGAGCAAAACAAAACAGAAGAAAAAAATAGCAAATAATATGCTTCCATCTGCATCCAGACTCCATAGTCCTTTCTCTGGATGGGGATAGCATTTTCCATCATGAGACCTTTGGAGATGTCTTAGATCCTTGCATGGCCGAGAAGGGCTGAGTCCATCAAAGTTGGTCATCTCACAACGTGGCTGTTACTGTGCACAATGTTCAAATATCCTTTTCTAGAGATTAATTGATGTTAAGGGGTAAAAGAGAACTGGGCTACTGGTATTTGGCATCTGGAGCAGGGAACATAGCCAGTGGGGCCAGAACCAGTGGCAGGAGGGAAGAGGTACAGCTGAGCCTTCAGAGTGCCTACCCCTAGTTCCCTGAGGCTCGTGTGAATGTGGAGACTGCCTGGCTCTGGGACATCCCACTCAACACACTTACTGGATGTGGTACCTGGCACATAGCAAGCATAGAGTCAACGAGCATTTATTAAGGGCCTACTATGTGCCGGGCATAGAAAGAGTGGCAAAGATTGTCCCTGCTTTTGCACAGCTCACAGCCTAATGAGGGAGACAAACAACTGAGCTAAAAACAGATCACATCAGAGACAGCCTCAAGAGGAAATCAGCTGCGTTAAGGGTGACGGGGAAAGGCTTCCTGTGGAAGGTGGGATTTTAGCTGGGACTTGAAGGAAGCCAGGAACCAAGGGGCAGAGCATTCCAGGCACAGGGGGCACAGCCAGAGAAAATGCCTGGAGAGGGGAGAGCCTTGTGGCAGGCATTCCCACCAGCAGCTGGTGCAATGTTCCAAGGATGAGGCGATGAGGTCTTCCACCAGGGTGGAGGTAACATCAGGGGAGAAGGGGACGACGAGGTGCTGAAGATAAAATCAATAGGGTTTGGCCACCGATCAGATGTGGGGAGTGAGAGAGAGGGAGGAGACCAGGATGACACTGACCTTGGGAGTCTGGACAACTGGGAAGAGGGTGGTGCCCTTGACAGAAATAGGGAAGTTAGGAGGAGTTGAGGGTTTGGGAGAGAGAGATAATGAGCTCAGTTGTGCATGTATTAAATCTGAGTTGTCTGTGGGACTGGGGGTCGAGAGATTAGGGCTGGATAAATAGATGTGAGAATCATCTTCATAGGCAGGCAGGCAGGCAATAAGCATTTATTTAGCACCTGCTATATCCTAGGCACTGTGCTAAATGCTGAGAATACAGATACAAGCAAGCAAAAAGAAAGACAGGCTTTGTCCTCAAGGAGCTTCCAATCTAATGGACGCGCTTGAGTCAGATGAGTGAGAATGTGGGGGTGATATTAGAGAAGATGGACACATGGAGGGCTTGGCCTTGGTAAGGAGGAAGGCCACATGTTCAAGTGGTACATGGATGACGGAGGTGGGGTGGGAGGGAGCCGAGATGAGGAGCAGGGAAGAGAGGGAGTCCTCCAGAATGAGCTCTGTGTTTTCCAGCAAAAGGAGGCAAAATGCTCAGCTGAGAGGGTGGTGGAAGAGGGAGCCAGAAGAGGTTTGAAGAGAGATAAGGAGTTTAGAAAAATAGTGGCTGAGGGGGTAGTGAATGGATTAGGGAGGTGGGGTGGCCTCACTCTTGTCTTCGGATGGCATATAAATTGTGCTTCATGAATTGTTAGAAAGCCATTGATCTCATCCATAAGCTTGGAGCCCAAGGATAATTCTACCCCAGTAAAAAGAATTTCTTTTAGGTGGGGACACCTTTTGATTGAGTCAAATAGACAAACCCCTTTTGTTTGCCCTGTGGCACATTTTGTATCAGTAATAAGGCAACTAGTGGGGTCAGGAAGACCAGGATTGAAATCCTGCCTCAGGACACTTATTAACTGCGAGACCCGGGCCAAGTCACTTAACCTCTCTATGCCTCCATTTTCTCAAGTTGAATGAGAGAGTGGCGCTCCTTAGCCTCTGAGCGCCCTTGCCCCTCCAGAGCTAGAATTCTACCTGAAGATATTCTAATCAAGTCTTTGACAGAATTTGATTCATTTTGTTTCAAGGGGAAAAAAAAGTACTTTAACCTCCAGAGGAAAAAGTAACCATCTTTCTGAGTTGTACTTGAGTTTGTAGGCCCAAAGGATCAAAATTATTTATTATAATAATTCCTGAACTAGAGCTGGTGTTTCTAAGGCCCTGTTTTCATAGTCTTTGGCCTCTAAACAACCCTGGGAGGAAACAGATAGGCAGGGCAGGTCCAGTTATCTCTGGCTTACAGAGGCCCAAGCCTAGACTTTGAGTGGCAGAGACTTGGCCAAGGCCCCAAGGTTAGGAAGTCTGGCAATTAGGAGGGTCCCAAGAACCTCTGGGCACTAATGGCCAATATAAATACTGAGTTCAGAAGGCCAAACCCTAGAGACCCCAGTGAAATCCAGACCCTCCCCCTCTTCTCCATGTCGGCCCCTTTCCATCCTTTATTTCTTCAAGGTTTGGCCAAACGATCCTTTCTACGGAAACCCGAATCTCTCCACCCCACGTTGTCAGTCTTCTTCATGTTTTCTTGTTCAGACACATCAACAGGGCAGCCTGGCTAATGCACGCTGGCTGTGTGACCTTGCATGAGGAATCCACCTCTCAGAGCTCCACTAAGTGGCCGAGGAGGTGCCAGCCTGCATTGGTGAAGGGAGTTTCCTCATCTGGGAATTCTCTACCCCGGCGAAATCACAGGGCCAGCCCTCATCCTCAATTCTAGCTATAGCTGTGGCTGTTTCTATCTGTTGTGACCTGGTGGAGATCCGGCAGAGAAGGTGGGGAAGGAGCCGTGAGATAAGTAGGAGGAGAATTGCAGAAAGCAGGGTGGGAAAAGTCAATGAACATTGATTAAGCACCTACCATGTGCCAGGCACTGGGCTAAGCATGTTTTACAAATAGCATCTCATTTAATTACTTTGAGAGGAGGAGCGACGGAGGTCCAGCACAACGGCTGCAGAAACACAGTTGAAGTGAAGTGAAGTGAATTGCACGGAGGGGCTCGGCAGGGAGGGGGCGGGGCGGGGCTGCGCTGCGGGCCCTTGGGCCCTTGGGGAGGGGGAAGGGCGCGGGCGGGCGTCGAGCTCCGGGAACAGCTGGGGGCGGGGCTGCGCCGGGCCCAGGGGGCGGGGCGGTGGAGCTGGGAAGAGCCCGCGTGGCTGGCGCGGGGCAGGGCGAGTGCGCGTGCGCGGCCAGTCAGCCCGCTGCGGGTCCCGGATGGGGAAGTGCGGGCGACCATAGAGAAGCAGCGGCGGCGGCGGCGGCGGCGGCGAGAGCGGCCCGGCCCTCCCTCGCTCCCTCCCTCGCTCGGCTCAGGTAGTAGCTGCAGCTGCGGTAGCGGCGCCTCCGGGGTGGGGGAGGGGCCGGGGAGGCGACTGCGGGGCAACGGGGACGGGCGCCGTCGGCAGCGCGGGTCCGGGGAGGGCCCCCCCCCGAGCATGTCGCGACAAGTGACACCATGTCGCGACAGGCGGGAGCCCGCGCGCCCGCTCATAAGGCGTCCTTTCCAGCCACGTCCCGAGAGAGTCATCTCGGGGGCCCATGTCGCGATAGCCCCGTTTCTCCTCCCTCCCCCCCCAAACTCTTGGGGTCTGTTAGGGATCTAAAGTGGAGCGGCCCCCGACCCTGGCGGGGGTTGTGGGAGGTGGGAGGAGTAGCAAGCGGGGGGGGGGCACTTGAGCGCCCCTCCCCCATACTGCGCCCCTTTCCTCGCCCCCCCCTTGGAAGGAGAGCTTCGCATCCCTGCCACTGTGTGGGAAGTGCCCCTCCCAGAGACTCTCTCCCATGTCCCACAGAGAGCCCCCCAGTCCCCCCCCCCACCCGCCCCCAGCTTGGGAGAGGGCCAAGCCCCAAGTCCCTCCCAGGGGGAGAGAGCTGCTCCATCCCCCACACTGAGCTCCTTTCTAAATCCCCCAAGTGAGGAGAGTGCCCTCCCACCCCCTTCTAAATCCCACAAAGAGAGTGTCCCTATCCCTGCCACTGGGCTCATTCCTAAACCGCCCAGGTGGGGTAAGTGCCCTGCCTCAGAGATCTCTCAAGTTCCACAAAAAGAAAAGCCCCCTTCATGCCCCCAAGACGGGAGAGAGCTTCCCCATCTGTGCCAGAGATCTCCGTAAATACCCAAAGTAGAGAAAGACCCCGCTTTAATGGAGGACCCCCCCTTTCCAAAGTTCTGAGCCCCTCGAAAGCCCCTCCCCATCTCCCCTCCATGTGGTGCAAGCATAGGGGTGTAGGACCCCGGTCCCCTTTGCCCTAGTTCCCCTCTGCCCGACCCGAAAGGAGCTAGTAGAACGGCCCTCTCATCCCATCCTCGGACCCAGCCCCCAGCCTACTTGCGGCTCTCTGGCCTCGTAGTGTGGGGGTGGGGAGTCATATCTTCTTATTAAATTCTAGAAGGGGGAAGGCCTCCATCACCAGAACTGCATTTTCTCCCCCCACTCCCTCCTCTCAAGGGGGAGCACCCTGAACCCCCATTCTGAGACAGACTGACTGCCCTTAAGAGGGAAGATCGGGGCAGTCTCTTAAGAGGAAGGAACTGCCGACTTCACTCCTTGTTTAGAGAAACCTCAGCCTTCCCTCCCAGGCTGGGGGAAGGAAACTGTTTCTTTCTCTTCTTTCTTTGTGGAAAGAAAGGGGAAACTGCCTTCTTTCCCTCCCACCATACTCTTGTTAAAAGAGGAGAGAGACCAATTCCCCAATTTCCTTTGGCTTTTCACTGAAAGGAGTCCTTGATTCGGAGTCAGGGGTGACCTTGGGCATATCACTTCTTTGGCCTCAGTTTCTTCTTCTGTAAAGTGAGGGGATTGGCCTAGATAATTGTTAAGGTCCCTTCAAGCTAAAGTCCAGGAACCTGTGATCCTTTGGATGGAGAAGGCTCAGATTTCTTTAAGCAGTCAAGAAAAAGAGATGTCCCTGATGGAAAGGGAGGCTTCGCTGGGCCATCTCCTTGTTGAGCAGAAAACCTCCTGCTCTCCCTTCTCCAGGGAAGATAGGTGTTCCCACAGGGAGGCAGAAACAAAGCTACCTCCCACCACATCCCTACAAAGTCCATTTGCATCCCTTGCACATCACTACCCTCCCATCTCTGCATTTTCATTCCTTTAGCCCCCTTTCTTCCTGGGATGGAGCAGCAAGAGGGAGATGGGCCCTCTTGCTTGGAGTTTTCTAGACTATTCCTTGTGGAGAGATTGGCCCTTGTGTTCCCAGCTCCCCGCCTTTGAAGTTTCCTTCCCAAAGCCGAAGAAAGACTCTTCTCCCAGTTCTGCTGCTGGGGGCCCAGCTTTGTTCTCCCAGTCGGGTTGTCGGAAGCTTTGGGAAATAAAATCCCTTTCTTGGAGGGGAGATGAAATGTGAATTTCAGAGGGCAGGTATGCTCTAGGCAGGGTTCGTTGTGGATAACTTTTCTTTTCAGGAAGACATGAACTGAATGAGGTTAGGCCTTTAGAAGACAAACATCCTAGGAATTAGTACTCTGTCTTGTCTTCAGTATTGATTTTTGTCCCTGTGCTACATGTCGTGATGTTTTGGGGGAGGATCTCAAGCACCGACCTGTTCATACTAAAAGATTTGCAGTAAAAGTGGATGACGTCTTTATTCTTGGTTTTCCAAGCTTTTAATAGGAACCGTCAAAAGGGCTGCTTGTGTATAAGTAGTCATTATTGGTTCATTCTCTTTTTTTTTAACTTCTTCCTTCTCAGTGTACATCCCTGATAGGAAAGATCCAGGATATTGGGGGCCTTGGAGTCTAGCCGCCACCGCCCCCCCACTGTCAGCAGGAAGTGAAGATCCATGTCCACTGAGGGGCATAGTGAACCCCAGAGCTCTCCTGACTGACCCAGAGGCCAGTGCTCT